GTCGGTTCAGCTACTTTTGTTTTTTTTATTTCCCTTTTCCTCTCGATAATTTCCGAAAATTTTAAGGTTGATTTTTGGAGAAGTTTCACAGAGATACCAACTAATGACATCAATTTGAGCGATTGGTGCGGGGGTAAAGTTTACAATATGTTCATTTCGCTATGCCCTTTTGAATATATCGATACATTATGGGCCATTTAATGTCCCCGTATAAACAATTTAATAATTTAATATACATGTATATTATAAATATAAGGGAAAGAGGAGTAAATAGTGTCAGGGAGCAAATAGTGTCACTTTGAATTTCTTCTCTTTCCCGTATCTATTTTAACACTATTTGGTAATAGAAAAACAGTTCTCAGGCATCTAATAATTTTCTGAAAAAACCGCAAAAATCAAAAGCCAAATAAATATAGCTAGCGGAGAAGTTTAAAATTTTGCATTTGTGAAATAAGGTAAAACTGGATCTTTTTTTATATTTGAAGTTACATTTTCTTAATTGCTGAATCGTTGAATGAGATCTAACTTATTCTGTCATACTGTACCTAATTTTTCTTCTATTTTGATATTATATATGCCTATGCTTGTATATTAATTTTATTTCTCTTAGTAAAGTTTCAAAGAAAAAAAATAGCTCCTGGGACAAATAATGACAATTTTTAGTTTGATAAATAATGACAAATCAAAAAGCATTTTTAATATTTGAATTTGATTTTTCTAATTCATTTGAGATAATAGGAGATTAGTTACAAAGCAAGATCCAAAATAAATGTGATTTTTAATAAGAAATATTAGCAAATAATGTTACTACTATTTATCAATAAATAAAAATTTACTCAGCTGACTACACGTGCGCATAAACATGCGTTTACATTCACCATTTCTCTTTTTTGCACGCACGCACGCACGCACGCACGCACGCACGCACGCACGCACGCACGCACGCACGCACGCACGCACGCACGCACGCACGCACGCACGCACGCACGCACATACGATCGCACGCACGCACGCACGCACGCACGCACGCACGCACGCACGCACGCACGCACGCACGCACGCACGCACGCACGCACGCACGCACGCACGCACGCACGCACGCACGCACGCACATGCACAGAACCTTACCTTTTAAAGATTTGTCTACTTCTGTATTTTCTTTCTGAAAAAGATGAATTCCCATTTCGATGTGATTTCCACGTAATGAATGTTTATTTTAATAAATTTTCAAATAGTTTTAATGCAAACGTCACAAGTTATCACTGACTAATACAGATTAAATAATTAATTAGTTAATTCTTTTTTTTACAAACCGTGTTACTTCATATTTCACACTCGATTCACATACAAACTATTCACTTGAAGAAATCACAAGAAATCTACTAATATATCTATTAATTAATATCCGTTATGTACTGTACAATCACTGTCGATTAATTATCTGTCCACTGAAACACACGATGAAACACACAGCGATTTATTAATAAACGATCCGTTCACTCGAGGGTAGCAAGCAGTCAACTGACTTTAATATCGATTTTATTAATTAATGATTATCAATCCGTGTCTATTCGTGTCTATTAATTATTCGTCAACTGAAAAATCACTCAAAGAAAGAAACACGCGACAATTTATTAACACACGACGATTTACTGACACACGAGACGTTCACTCGACAATAGCAAGCAGTGCGCTCTAATTGTGATATTACAACTAAAACCATGTTCGCGTTTCGACAGCGCTGTAAACATAATAAGATCAGTCGATTGCTTGCTATCGTCGAGTGAACGTCTTATGTATCAATAAATCGTCGTATGTTAGTAAATAGTGCGCGAGTTTGTTTCCTCGAGTGAATTTTCAATCGATGAATAATTAATCGACATTGATTGATAATTATTAACTACTTAATACATTCGGTATTAAAGTCAGTCGACTGCTTGCTATTATCGACTAAACGTCTCGTGTGTCAGTAAGTTGTCGCGTGTTTCTTTCTTCAAATAATTTTTCAATCGACGAATAATTAATCGTCACGGATTAATAATAATTAAGTGATAAATTTTATATTAAAATCAGTCGAATGCTTGCTATCATCGAGTGAACGAGTCGTGAGTTAATAAATCGCCGTGTGTTACTTTCTTCGTGTAATGTTCCAGTAGACGGATAATTAATTGATATAGTGATTGTGAAGTACGTAACGGATATTAATTAGATACATTAGTAGATTTCTCGTGATTTCTTCAAGTGAATAGTTTGTATGTGAATCGAGTGTGAAATGTTGAAGTGACACAGTTTGTAAAAAAAATGAATTAACTAATTAATTATTTGATTTGTGTCAGTCAGTGATAACTTGTGACGTTTGCATTAAAACAATCGAAAATTTATTAAAATAAACACTCATTACGTGGAAATCACATCGAAATGGGAATTCATCTTTTTCGAGAAGTTACAGAAGTCGACAAATCTTTAAAAGGTAAAATTGTGTGTGCGTGCGTGCGTGCGTGCGTGCGTGCGTGCGTGCGTGCGTGCGTGCGTGCATGCGTGCGTGCGTGCGTGCGTGCGTGCGTGCGTGCGTGCGTGCGTGTGTGTGTTGTGAGAGAGAGAGAATGTAAACGCATGTTTGCGTGTGTGTAGTCAGCTGATCGTCGCGACGATCCCGCGTACCGCCTGCCGTCGGACAGTAAGTTACGCCGTCCCTGTCTACCTTCTGTACGCGGACCGTAATTCGCTAACTATTTCTCATTATAATTTGAAAACTAAGCTTCGGACAAAATTTTTGTAAAGGAAAAATCGTCTTAGAATTGAGTCAAGAATACGTCTTTACAACGACGCGGAGTTGTTTTAAATCACCCTGTATATATTACGACCAATTACGACCGTATAAGTATTTTAAACACAATAGATTGAAGAGACCAATGAACAGTCATAGCAGAATCTTGATGTTTTTAATATTTCTATGCGAATTTTACGTATGTATTCTAGTTTCAACAAACTGCGTGCTGTTACTTTCGGATTCAATACAGCTCTTTGTTTGAAACAGAACAGTATTATCAAATAAACGAAAGTAACGCACGCAATTCGTTGAAACTAAAATATGTATGTAAAATTCACACAGAAATATTAGAAGCACCAAAATCTTGCTATTGACCGTTCATTGGCCTTATCTCAATTTATTAAGACTAAAATTAATTTTAATTTAAACAGTTTTCATATATTATAAAATACTTACATTTTATCAGTAGTTTTGATGCTACTATCTATAACCTTTTGTCCTTGAAAACTGATGCATAATAGATGAAAGATTTGAGCAATAACGTATACCAAATATTTTATCATTTCTTCTGTATGTCCCGAAACCATTACTATCTAAAATTGCATAAATATAGAGATTAATAATATAATAATCTCCTTATTAATAAAGCAAAAAGCATAAAATATTGTAATTAAGATTTTAATTTGCACAAAGTTAACTCTTTCTATTTCTAAAATAATTTTATTTTTTAAAGTTTTGCTGAAATATGCTAATTGCTCGCAAGGGGAATCAGAGATGTTCTCTTCTAATTTGGCTAAATTTTATATTCACTGACGGGCAAAAATTCCGAAACGACTAATTATTTCAGAAAGTATTGGTTTCATGAAAAAATGTTTCAGTAGTAAGGTGAGGCCAGTTCTAACCCATAAGCTCCTGGGAGGGGGTGAGGGGCGGGGGGAATTTGCGCGGGGAATGACGTCATGCTGGGAGTAACCGTCGAGATGTTTACGTAAACATGGGCCATGTTTGTTTACGTAAACAATGATAACAGCGGGCTCTTTGAGAATTTGATACGGGAGGATGACGTCACGCTAGAATAACCGCCGAGATGTTTTCGTAAACATTGGCTACATTTGTTTACGTAAACAATGATAATGGCGGGCTCTTTAATAATTTGATATGGGGGGGAGATTTTCCGCGGATAGTGTTTGGAGGGAGGGGTTTTGCGGACCCGCCGCCCGCGCCCGCCGCGTTCTCTCTCCCGCGCATAGCGCGTTCTCGCTCCCACGCACGCACTGCCGCGCCGCCATAGAAAGGATGTATTAAATGCATTAATATATATATTTATAAGTATATTTATATTATAAAAAATATATAATATACAATATAAAGTCAAATGTCTCCCGTTTGTGTACGTTACATTCGTCTCTTGGGGTGCCCCTTGAATGCCAGGAGGATCGTCGCGACCAACCCCGGGGAATACGAATGCCAAGATGAACGGTGCCCGCTCGAGTTCCTAGGGGATTGCCTGGAGTGTTTCCCGTTTTTCCTGTCCCCTCGCCTGATGTTGCGGCGGGACTTGTCGCGCATAAAGGTGCAGGGGCGTTCAAAAGTGCGAGGGGACATATCTCCTCGAATGCTGCGCCTGAAGGGAAGAGTAGATGCCTCCTCAAATATAGCGTCGTCTCTCGATGACTCTGCGTTCAAGATTGCTGTTCGCGACACCGCTGCTCGCGGCACTGCCGATGCTCGCGACACCGCTGCTCGCGGCACTGCCGATGCTCGCGACGCCGCAGCAAAACACTAGGGGATCCTTATGATATAATAATAAAGATAATACAAAATAATAAAAAGATATTGTCTCTCGAGACTAGTTATATTTACTCGCAAAATGCACCTCTTGAGGAGGTTGCAGAGAGCGCTCGTGTCTTCGTCATCGAATGACACCAACGGGGATGACGACGATGGTTGCGATGACGACGACGACTACGACGACGACAACCACTTGCTTCGGTACATGTCGGTTCTCAGCAAAATAACGAACTGAGACTTGTCGCTCTAACACAATGACGAACCGAGACTTCGCACCATCTCCATATGCGTACATCGGCGTTCTTTTTGCTACGTGACACCGTGGAATAATAAAAAAAATAATAATAATAAGGGGGAGAGGAGACGGTTGAGAAAAGCGCCGATATCTGGCTGCTGTTTTGTCTTAACGAAATGCAACGAAAGAAATATGATGTTGCAGAACGATCAAGAGCCTGTGAAAGAGGTAGAAAGAGCTGCGGTGCAGAATGATCAAGATAGGGTAGAGCCGAAAACATTCGATATATCACGAGAAAATCGACACTATTTTCCACGATTTGACGCTCACGGTCGTAAAATAACAATCGCTGTACGACAATCGACAGAGGATCTAAACTCGTTAATGTGGATTGAATGAAGTATTTGCAGAGATGTTAAGAATAGACGAGAATACAACGACGCCATCTAAGGACAAACAGACTCACCTTGATCTCATTAACGCATATTCTATGACTATGGACTTGACTGGATAATAGATACTCACGCACGTGTTATTTTATAAAAGAGTTCTGAGGTTCTAAGACCTTATATCAGAATAAAGTGTATCACATTATTATATATACATCCATTGTGTCTTTCATCCACTGCCCAATACAGTAAATTATAACAAGAGATCCACGCATATCTTACAGATTCATGTCAACCCTATGTAATCCAGACGATTACATAGGGTTGACATTTACAGCTGATGCTTTCGCTCATGGTCCTGTATGGCTGTCTTATCGATATGTACGCGACTTGCAATATATAGATTTGTGGGAATTAGTGAATCGAGCCGCCTAAAGTGCCACAGATTTTTGTATTAACAATAGTTGTACATTAACATGTTGTATAATACGACGTATGAGCGAGAATTCACGAAGGAAATTAACGCATGATAGCAAAACGGTCGATATTAACAATAACAAATACCGATAACTTTTGCCTACCGCGTTCATTAGTAGCTGCACGGGTGTACATGGAACGAGGTGAAATCCGCTCGGGCGAATTGCATCGTCGTTGGATGTCAATAAGATTGTCTCGGGGTAAGTTACATGAGAGGATATTAGCTCCGTTTGCGGTGGAGAGTGTGTAAGATAGAACGGGCTGCTCTTGCCAACAGTGATCTTCCTTTCTTATTATTCTACGCTGTTCGCTATTGCGATGTTCGTTTTCCGTTCGCTAGGTGTGCGTTTTTCGTTCGCGCAGAAATGGTGGTTGCCGGAAATGAAGTGACGTTTTTCTTTTTCTATTTACACAGTGTATTTTGTCAAGAGCTTATTTACAGGATGTATGTACAGTAGACCTTATGTGTTATTGTTCTTTTGTGGCCCTAAGAAGGGCCGATTGTTCGTAGCGGCCTAGGCCGGAGGCTTACGCGGGCCCCGCGCTATATGCGGCTGCGTGAGCGTGAAGCTCCACGGTCGTTCTTCGTTGGGAGTCTGCGTCGCCTTATCGTAATCGTAGACCTCCTTCGTCTGCACCGATGTCGACCTCCGTTCGGGTGTTTGAACGGTCTGCGTCGCCTTGTCAGCTGTGCGGGACTGCCTCGTGTCGGAATCCGCAGGTAGCGGCTGGATGAGGGCCGGTACCTGCGCCAGGGCCTGTAGGACCGTTTCAGGCGTCGGGTGATCACTAGCCCTGCTTGGTGTCCCTTGCTGTCGCCGGGTCCGTTGATGCAGGCCCGAAGTCGATCGCCACGAGTCTCCACTCGTTCGCTGGTGGTGCTGCTGCTAGTGGCTTCGCTGCGGAGCCGGTGCGTCTCGGCGTTGCTACCCTGCGGGGCCTGGTAGCGACCCTCTTAGAGGCCTCGACGACGCCGGTACGGGTTACGGTAGTAGGCGGCAGCTTGGTGGCTTTCGTCCTGCTTTTCTCTTCAAAAAGACTTGGCTTGCTCTAATCGGGTCCGGAAAGCGTCTTCGACTCGAGAACCGTGTCTGGTCTTCGATCGGCAATTCGGGCCTACTTATACCCTTTCGGACCGTTTCTTCCTTACGAGAAACTCGGTCCTCTAGCGGCTTGTCTAGGAAGATGACACTCGTGGCTGGCGCGTGGTCGCCTCGTGCGCCTAGGCGAGGGCACAAAGTCCGCCGCGCGAGACCCGGTGTAGGCGCGCGATGTGCCGGGCGGCCGCGGAGGCTTGGTGGCGCGCGCGTCGCGATCAGGTGGCGCAGATATGCCGCCACATTACAAAAAGAGGCAACTCTCGAGCTTGTAAGAAATGCTAAAATAAATATATCAAACAGAAGCTGCTCTGTAGCGGAATAAAAACATTTTCAAAAATACTTAGCAAACGACGGTATAGCTATTGTCGTGTATGAAGTCGATACATTGGGTCATGGTGGTGAGGCTTTATACGACGGTATAAACTGTGTAAAGAATTCATTCAATATATATAAAATATTCGTTCATACGGTTCGTATTTTATATTATCCTCGAGTACACCATTTCGAACCAATTTTGAACATTCGAGCTGCTGTAGGAAGTCGCGGATTTTGTCTATCTTGCAATATAGCATATGTTAGAATGTGTGGATCATAAATGCTTGCGAAAATACAATTGTATGAGGCAACCACCATTGAAAGGCGGCGTATTAAATGTGATTCTTGTAAACGGTCTTTTTATAATCGTGAATGTTTTGAACAACATTTAAAACCCATTACAAATGGTAACATGAATAAAAAAAAAAAATAAAAAGACCGTATGCGAAATATTAAAAATATGCGACAAATGCTCGAGATTTATTGCAACAGATGAAAAACGGAAACATGAGTGTGGTGTAGCATATTGCAAAACATGTAGAAATTATTGTCATATCAATCATTTATGTCACATCCGACCTATAAAAACAAAAGATGATCAGGCAAAAATCGTGTTTTTATTTTATAATTTTGAAACACAACAAAACACACATGTTAAAGGTAATGATAAAACGAATGTACACGTACCAAATTTATGTATTATTCAACAAGTATGTACTTATTGTTTAGATATTAATGATAATGATATGACAAAATTGTGTCAATATTGCGGTAAACGCGAATACATATTCACGCAAGATCTCTATTCAAACAACTCGTAGATTTAGCAATGAAACCATTACATTTGTTTACCCGTATAATCTGCATTACACATAATGCAAAAGCGTTTGATGCACAATTTATTTTTCATTACATGTGCGTCGAAAGTGGCTCCTTCCCGCACTCTTTGCGGTTCGAAAAGTAGCCATTTTCCGACAACTGTGCGGGAAGTCAACACCGTGCGGGAAGTAGTCACTTCCCGCACGGTCTGTAGTGCGAAAAGTAACGTCACGCGTGCGACAAGTA